CAACCACAATCAAATCCTCCCACTTTTCCGGATTATCCTCAGTTGCAGCATGACTACACTCAAAATCGTCGGCCACCAAGCAAGTCGTCAATGGTGTAGATGTCTCAGTTGCATTCAAAGCAGCTTCACGATCAAATTCTTGTGGTTTGCCGGCTCTTTTCTTGTGCATCAAACCTCCATTTTGAGCCTTAACTTCATCAAAACGATCAAAAACTGCAGTTCTACCTACTGCTCCGTCACCCCAAGCCTCATTGTTTCGGCGGAAAGTCTCAGCAGTACTTGAACCAAAACGATACTTATTAAGCATCAACAAATCGTTTTTGCTCTCGGGACAACTTTATTCAAAAGCAAAGTATAAGTGTATAGGTATAGTATGTTTAAATGCCATATATCCTTATGACTGCAAGAAATGCTCTAAATGATACTAAAATAAAAACTTAAACGCATGAAAAATAATCAGCAAGAACGAAAAAGTCCAGATAAAATTTTTGGGCACTTCTCCGTTATCTGCACTATATTTTGTTACTTCAGAAAAAACCTATTATTTGCTCGTTTTTGATGTTGAAGTAAGCAATCTAAGTTGAAAGAATTTGAGCTGTACATTTCATCTTCAAAACGGCCTCGTTATTGCGCTGAAAGAGCAAAAATAAGGTTTCGTTTCTCATATAAAGATATATCGCTGATCAGAGATTATCCTTCGAAGTTTCAGTGACGAATCTATAGGTCAAATCTTGAGAGTTCTGATGGTTTATTTGGCTTCCAAAATGAACTTCGTAATACGCTGTAACACTCAAAAGAATATTGGGTTTCCCAAAGGTGGATTATTTCCGTTATCCACACCCTGTGCCTGTTTCACTTTTATAGTCTTTCCTTTTTTAAGCTAAGGCTCACTATATCCAAACTCATGCAGTCACATTCGCTACTGTTAGAACATATTGTGCAATATTGTGCTATGCACAGCGATCAAAGCAGTTACAAATGATCTGGCTAACGTATGAGAGTGTTTAATGACATTTCAATCACTGCTCCACAAATTTCTCTGTACCAGCTGCCCTCCAACACAGCGCTACGAAGCTGGTTCTTTCAAAGCAGGAGATTATTTCTAAATAACTGATTCCATGAGTTTAGCTTTCTATTATTCTATGATTGAGATTTTGCTCTAACGCATCAATTACGTGAACAAAATGTTCACTGTCCTTGTATTTTCAGTAGTTTACAATCTAATTATTCAAAGTATTGACTAGATATTTTTTAATCACATAACAAGGCTTGAGACTTTTATGAGGTCTGATAGGGCGCTTGATCAGTACTAGATGGGCCAGTTCCATCCTTAGAAGCTCACCAGTACCATTATGTGATTTTCAGACAATTATTATTTTCGAACGAGTTTTATAAAAACAGTCGAATGAAGAGGTATGAATTACTTTATTAGGCATGATCTCAACTGTTGGTCACTGCAATGTCGAGGGTATCATTACTTGATTGGTGATTTGTTATTCGGCGGCGATTCCATCTCAGAGGAGTATAGCATCAAGAAATTGGCTGAACCGAGGGACTGTGCTGTTGAGTCCAGTAGGAAGAAACAGACGCCTGCTGCACTTGGACCTTAACAACTCAAAATATGTTATTTCAATATCAGTGTATTATCGTGTTGATCGCGGTCTATATACAAGTGGTCGAATGGAGAGGTATGATTTATTTTAGCAGCCACATGCTCGACTGCTAACCTCTGCATTGTCAGGGGATTCTATCGCCTAATTCGCGGTGATTCTTTCATAGAGGAGTCAATAGCCTCAAAGGATTGACTGAACTGAAGGGCAGCGCTACTAAAGTGTCCTTGAGGACGAAACAGGTGCCTGAAACTTAGACTTGACAAACGGCTCAAAACATGTTACATCATTAACAGAGTATTATCGTTTTGAGCGGGATCTATAAAAAGTGGTCAACTGAAGAGGTATTTTAGTAACAAAAGGAAATAAATGTATTGTGATCTGCGGAATATCATAGCTATATATAGTATAACATGTTTTTCTTCAAAGAAAGAGTTGCAGGCTCCATCTCTATTGCAGTTAATTAAATTCTGTGCTCCGGAAAATGTTAAATTGAAGTGAAAGCAGTCACCATGATCACGCCCTATCACTCCTATAGAATGCACGTCGGCTCCGATGTGTTGATCAATGCTTTATAGCTGTTCTTGTTTCATAATCTCAACATTTATTTACAACGTAATTCATTTTCAACGATAGGGTACGATGTAAAATATGATCAGTGATGTTGAGATAAGAGCAATTTGCAACCTGTTGTTTCGCTTGATGAACTCAAATTGTGACTGTTGACTAATTCAAGGAATGTTAGGTCCGTTAAATGGTAACTCTGCTAACTACCAATTACGGTTCAAATTGACCGAGAGAAAGACAAAGCCAGAATCTCATTGGTGTAGTGCGGACGGGTACTGCCACGGTAAGGCTGGTGGTAATTCGAGTTTTTTTCACAAAAATCATCAGGTTTGACGTCTTTCTCGAATCAAGAAATACATAGGTCCTTTGACTTGGAAATGATGAGCGAAGTATGCACAGCCGAAGCTACCACACAACTGTTGCATTTAACCGCTTTAGATTCATTCAGTCGACTTTTACAATAACTTCAAGCAGGCTCACCTCCTTACAGCAAAATATCTGATGAAATATTTGTAAAATCACGACAATGGAATTATTTTTGTTTGCCAGAATCAGTGCATCGTTAACTTTTATCAACCCCCTGTGATTAGCATTCAAGCCTGCAAAATGTACTAATGGAGATGTAGACCACGCTTTTCGATTATTACAGATTGCGAATTTCTATAAAAATTTAGCAAGGCCTTTATGATGGCTATCGGGTCACCCGGCGCCTCGTATAGCTGTGGGAGTCCGCAGCTTTGAATCATGACCCTAATGAGTAGATGAAAAGCTGCCTCGATCGATCGATGAACAGCGTGCCAAACGCTCGTCACAAATATTCGTCAGTGTCGTCAACGAAGGATTCATGAACGATGTTCCATGTTCGCCAGGTCTCCCGTTTTACGTTGAAGACCCGTTACACTGGGACTCCGGATGCATACAGAGCCCCGTGACCTTTGACCTTTAGCCCCAATTAGGCACCGAAAAGCTGCCTAAGCCTCAAAAAGCTGGAATAATTTTGATAGCAATAATAGCGATAACAAATGCAAATTTTTGAGTCCGGATGTAAATCATAGCTTCAAGCTCTGAGGAAGTCTATGGGACCTCTATGTAAGTTGAATTCTACCATTATAGTCTATTTTTGGGATCTCGCGTAAAATAATGTCCAATCTGCTGACATATTTAAGCCTTTTATGAGATCTGTTTTGACAGTTATGCAGAGGTAGACGTGGGTTCCAGCCTTGCGGCCTCATCAGTAGTACGATGCCTTGCATTTCAGCCAATCCGTATGGAAGGCAGAAATGTACATCTACCACTACATCAGTGTTATTACAGACCTCATAAAAGGCTCAAAACATGTTATCAGATTGTAAACAAGAATTGACATCTAGTATAAATTATAGATTTGACAGTACCAAAAGGTTTTCGGAAAATGAGAAAGGTAAGCATAGGTTTGAGAAACGTCATGCAAGCAAGCTGAAGTACTAAGCGAAGGCTGAGATTGGACATTAGAAAATGCCCTGGATTATTAGGAAACTACATGAAGGCCACTCCAAGCCTCTTCTCAAACTTTTCTACAACTTCAAAGCGGACTACATTGCTTCGCCTTCCCTTGTTGATTGAACCTGTTGCGCGAGGGTGTTCATAAGAAATCCTACGCGGCTAGAGTTTCAACGCTTTTCGTCTTCGTCAGAGCCGATTATTCGAATCCACCGTTCAGTGTCGTCCGCCCTCGATAGGATATTTGCCTTCGTTTCGTTTGAGTCAAGCTATTTTCGGTGCAGCATTGTTCGATGAAGAACATCACTTAGCAAGCCCCTTCTATAGAATGAAGTGTAGGCTTCTAGCTATTTGTTTTGCTAATTAGTTAATCACTCGTTGCTAGTGATAACACACTTGTATTCTTTGGACTATCTATCCTACAGCAGTCGCTTGAATTGAGGGTATACAAGGGCGCCATAATATATTAAGAACCGGCATTCCACTATCCATAATATAGCCAATCAATCAAATTTTCTTTGTTTATCAAGCGTGTAGAACAAAGTTGTTGATAACAAGTTTTACTCATCTAAGGTTTTGACGCGTCTCGTGTTCTTCAGTAGACAGAGGCTTCTTTGTTGGAGCATCGCTTAGATGAGGAATCTATTAACTTGCACTTTTGTTTTGTTGTTCGATATGAATAATGGAAACACATATTTTCCATATCTTTTACGATATAAAATGCGTTCTTCGAAAGCAACTCTGTGAAATTAATCGAAAATTGGGACGAAGAAACTGATGAAGAGTGGTATGTTCGAAAAAAATTAACGAAGTCGTTATGAGAGAGTCGTTGTAAGAAGACGCTTCTTTTCCAGCGCTGACTAACTGACATCAAGCCTCCGATACTTCACCATTTCTCGTATGCACGAATGTGTTTGTGTTGATTTCTGAGATAATTTTCATACGGATGTGAACTTTTCTCTAATCTTCGTGAACTTAAAAATTTCTCAGACCATTTATGAGTTGATCTTAACGGTTAATTAAAGGTGTTTCGATCATATAATCGCACAGGAAGCTTGACTTTAATCTGAAAGAATTGGAACGATTCAAACTTTCGACTTTCTATAAACCTCGGCATAATTAATTGTTACATGAAAATCGAGAAAACTTATCTTAATTAGCTGACGCGAGGTTGGTAAATTAGTCTACAGAGAGACTAATAGTACATACGCCCAGGCTCTGAAGAAGGCTGGTCGCCGAAACGTCAGCCGAATTTCTACGAATAATTTACCAACCTCGCGTCAGCTAATCAAGATAAGTTTTCTCGATTTTCATATAAGAGAACTGAGTGGTGAACAAAAATACGGCCTCAGACGGCAGTCGAACCCGCGTTTCATTCATACAGAGGAAGCGTGCTACCACTACAGCACAGAGGCACGTTTGCGCCACCACTCATTCTTCAATATCTCTATGACAGCTATTAGCTACCAACTAATTTCGCTCACAACTCTGTTCTCTCAGGTATATATGTAACATCAAAAACTGCGGGAAAAGCAGTAGAAATACTGGAACTCTGATGTATTACATCTAACAGTGGCTGTCAGCTCAACTGGGTTTATAATGCGAAATCACATATCCGACCAAACCTTCCTAAGGTTGGTGGCTGATAACTATTATAGAGATATTAAAAAATGAGTGGCGGCGCAAATGTGCCTCGCTGGTGTAGTGGTAGCACACGCACCCGCTTAGGATGAAACGCAGGTTTGACTCCCGTCCGAGGCTGTATTTTTGCTCACCAATCAATTCTCCTAGGTCATCATAGCACTGCGGAAAAAGCGGTAAAAATACTAGAATTTTGGAGTATTAACTTTGATCTTTCACTTAAATTAGCTGAACTGAAGAATGTTTTCAATTCATACAAAGTTAAGGCGGACAAAATTAGGTAAAGGCAGATTTTATATTGGATATTTCACAGCTGACTTCGCAATTTAGCTGACGGTCGCAAATGCCGTGGTGAAGTGCAATCCTAACCGGCCCGATGTCACCATTCGAACCACCCTGTTCATACACATTGCCATATCGCTCTCGACCAATTCGCCATGATTTGGTCTGCACAGTTTCTTTCAACCAAGCGAAGTCTCACAAGAAAGAAGATAGTACTAACCATGAGTGTTTCTGAGATTGTCGTATAATTGGCGGTTATAGCCACAACATTCATGTTCTTGCTTATATCACACATCATTGCTCCCATTCCGGTGAACAGAGTAGTTATCGTGCTGCCGACAACGATGCAATGTGGCTTTTTGTTCATGTCTCCTGCGACTAAAAGTTTTTCCATTTTTCAATCCTTTTTTCAAACAAAGGTCTGAAAAATGTGGAAAGTAGTTGCTGTAACTGATTTGTGCTTTTTTTCTAATTGTAATTGAACTATAAAATGACCTGAATAAGAAAACCATGTATTTTCGTCGGAACAAAGATTCAAAATTTCTAGTCTAATACTACATACACCCAGGCTCTGAAGAAGGCGGGTCGCCGAAACGTCAGCCGAACTTCTACGACTAATTTAGCAACTTCGCGTCAGCTAATCAAGATAAGTTTTTTCTCGATTTTCACATAACAATTCATTAGTTTAATTATCCTTCCGACTTCGATATATCTCTTCACGGTGAATACGGTGAGACTCAGCACAAAATTTCTAATAAAAGGATAAAAAAATATAGCTTTCAGCGTTGATCAATCTCTCAAAGATCCGCTATGCATTCGCCTTCAATTTTCAAATTCGTTTGAGGTGATTGAATGGACATCTACTTTTACAATGACTCGCTACTGCCTCGTGCTGGGCCGGGTCAATGCTGCCTATCCTCTCAGACATGTCTGAGACCACTCTGGCACCAATTTACCGACCCGGGAGGGATGAATGACTTTGTGAGCCATGAGAGCAAAATCTAACCATTGACCTCGTGTGCGGTGCCGAGCACCTCTAGCCACTGCGCCACATGAGCTTTTTTGTAATTGCAATAGTTTTGAATTATTAAAATAAATGTTTACTTGATTCTAGCTATTCAATCGTTCATTGATTTACGTACATACAACTTTCATGGCTCTTCATTGCATACAGAAATCCAGGTTGCCCGTGCAAATTTTATAGTTGTATAGACAGAAAAGAAGCTGGAAGAGTCTTCCAATTTGAAGATAATTATTTGAAGAAATGGGCCTCTCGTTGTCCTCAGGACAACGTGATTTTTTCGTCAGTGTTATATAAGACTATAATAGGAAAGTTTAACAAGAGCGAATGGTGAGTTGCAAAAGTTGAATCAAATTAAAGGAAGAAACCGTTTTGCAAGAGTCTAATCTGCTACACGTTTCATTTGAAATCAATGGACTAACTGATGAAAATACTCAAAAATATCAACTTTCCGCCGAGATGCTCAGAGCTTTTGTTGAATTAGCCTCATCTGATGAAGTCAGCTACATCAGACCGCAACTCAATTCCGCCAAAGAAGATACTCGAAAAGAGAAGAAAGCTTCAGCTTGATGTCAGTGAAGCAATTGCATCAGCAGTACGATCTGTTGTTCCAGTGACAGTCAATGACTCGAGCGGGCGTCAAAGAAACTTCCATTTTTCCCTATCGTGGAAAAACAGCATACCGGGTCCTTCTTGCCATAGGGAGCCGCCGAGAATTGCCATTTTCTTCCAGGCTTTTCATGAATAGATCGCGCCAGCGGTCATATAATTAACCTGTGGCGTAGCATTCAAACGATTTCATTTGATGACGACTCTTCTTCATGGGCTGTCGCTAAAACGCATAACGAGTTCACCCACCTTACCTTCCTGGCGTGTACAACGATGTGTTCAAATTTCAGTCGCTAGAACAAATAGGGGATCGAATACTTTCTCTTGTTTGCGAGATACGGGATACTGCTAGCATTGACCCTGCGCGTTTGATGCCGCCAAGTGGCCTTCAATTCTGCTTAAGTAGCAGCCAAATATCCCACGCGTACGCTAGGGCAGAGCAGTCGTTTAGTCGAAGAAGTAACAAGAAGTTAGATGTATTATGCTTTCTTCACAATGAACTCAATGTCCTTAAACGTTCCTTAAGCCGTTCGCTTTCTCCTGCTCAATTCTGGAGCTAGTTCATTGGTGAAATCAACTTCCGACCTAAATAAACATAACTAGAGCATTGGGAGATATTCATTCCATTAAGTCTGAGTGGGAGATTCTAATCAATCCTTTCCTCATGAGCAGCCTTCTCGTAAAATTCAATTAAAGAATAATCCATCCACAGGCATTGTTGAGATCAGTCAACTTTTCTCCGCCTTTCCGATGCTTGGTGTCTTAAGAGTGATTTATCAGTGAAGAGAAGGTGATGTAATCACCGACTGCGGATCTTCACCCTCATGTTTTTGCAGTCTAATGTTCATATGACGTTTTGGGGTACAGTAATTAAATTTAAGGAAGGGGTATCGTCTTGTTGAACTCATCCTTTTACGTCGAGTTACATCGTTACGGAGTGATAATATTTTGTAAGATAACGTTTTATACACCTAATGAGGAATCCTTAAGCAGTAACTAGGTATGCCCTAGTTGCATATACCCTCCATGACTGCATCTATTTCAGCTGCACAAAAGCCTTTTTCAACTCGCTGTAAAAAAGAAAGAGAGGTCACTTGTCCTTTCGTAAAATCTGAGTGGGTTTTGTTGTCGCATGGGTGTAGTCCATAGTACTGAATCCATTTGGAGACCCTGTTTGTGCACATGGCTGTTCTTAGTCCAGTGTTCTGTCAAATCTGCTTGGAATGACTCGAGTGAAGAGTTTTAAACGAGAAACAGCAAGTAAATCCGACGACAGTTGTCAATGACGTAAGTTTCTCACTCTGTTTTTACTAATACGGTCTATGTGGTCTTCCATTGTCATCGAACCTTCAATCTGAAGCAACGAGTATAGAAGCGAGTCAATGTGCCGATGGAAGGTGGTCGAAGGTTATTCAAGTCCTACGGTCCCATCCTCTTCGACGTTGCTCGATTCTCTGAAGACGAAGTATCATGCCGGATTTGAGAACAAGAGTTGATGGAGGCACAATTTTTTCCTTTTATGTTCTTCAAGTCGCTAAAAGGACGTGGCTGCCAAAGAGATCTGCGTAGTAATCGTGAATGATCTTCTCCTTTGTCTTATGGAAGCCGCAACTCTTCCGTCAGGACGTTGGACTTCAGTCACCTTAATCCTCTGAATGCAGGAGCTTAAGTGGGCCTAGAAAATGCCTTTTCCAGCTTCTAAGACTTCGACCATAACCGTTACTCTTCTCTCTTTGAGATCTTCTTTCATCACTTCTCTGCAATTTTTGCAAGTTTGGACATGAGTTACCGCTCCCCTGCGGCTAATGCAATATCATGTTGCCATATTAGTTCGAGTGTCTCTCGAGATAAAAGTCTTTTGGTGGCTTACGAACTCTTAGATTTCGTATCGTTAACTTGTAATGTTGGTTTTGATGATTTCTCTTCAAAATCCGACGAATGAGGTATATTTTAGTGTCTGGTGGTTCTCAGACATAGCTGTACATTTGGCGGGTTTCTTTTCTTTTCCAAAAAGTGAAGTGTTAGGAAGAAGACGCGATTGTCTGATCTCATGATTAATTTGAGAGCAGCAGCAACACTGGTCAAGCAAATTTTCACTTATTGGATGTAGTCTATTTCGCTGAGATACTCTGCACTACAAGGCGTTCACATTTACTGCTGAGCATGGGGGCTTTCTGAATTGCAAGTCACTTTGACTGCTTTTGGTCGTCACGATGAGGTTAGACGGCCTTTCACCTCGTCAATCAGTTCTAGTCCGTAAAACCCAAAACCCGATATAATGCTCTTCGAACGTTCTTCCGTTCGATTTTTGCTTTAAAATCTCTAATGGTGATCCACCAAAATAAACAGTCGTCCTCGAGGAACTTTTTAGGCCAATACAGGATCATTGTAGCTTGATGTTTAGGTGTGTAAACAACGAAGATGGTTAGAGCCGCCGTCGATCCACACAGTTTCAATTACAGTCGTTCGATTCGGTTGTAAGTTGTTGAAATAGATCGATGTTTATAGCCACGCTCGTTTTGACGAAAACCCCACCGCTGTCAACGCTCGTTCTTTTCGCATGCTCTATGAAGCAGTTCATCTTTGGCATCATGTCGTGAAATGGGTGGTGTCTTCTCGTCTCTGCCAGACTGGTGACGTCGCCCCTTATCCTTCTCGCTAGCATGTTCATCTAACGTTCAATAATCTACAAAGGATTTGAATGAAAGTGTAGGTGTCTTATAAGTACAGATTACTACTTTAGTCCGTTACTATATTAATGACCTTTCATGACCATATGATTATAGGGCCTCTCCTACTCGCCCTTATCAAGGCTGCCATATGTTTTGACTATTCAGTGTCAGAAAAAAGCATGTATTTCTT